CACCTTAAAGGTTATTAATTACTCAGACCTGTTCAAAGACAAGCATGATGGCCAGGCTTAGATCACAAAATGGCTTAGGCCAAAAATAGCCTCTCATGTCAAGAAAATCATGCTTGATACTGATACTCTTTCTCTAGGGACCCCCTACCCTACTTGCTTACAAAGTGGATATAATCTTATCTTTTTCTATGTGGCCACCAAGTTACCTTAGGGCCATTTATAAGCTAACCTTTGCCTCAGTGGTTTCAGATACCATCTTTGTTACATACTAAATTATACATATGTGCCTAATTCTTATCTTCCTATTCTATGCCACTGATCTAGTTGCCTATTCATGTACCAGTATCACACTGCTTTAATTACTGGGATTTTAGAGTATGTTTTAATGCTCAATAAGCTCAGTCGCTCATATTTTTCTTTTTCACTGTTTTCCTAGCTATTCTTGCATGTTTGTTCTTCCATATGAATGTTAGTATCAAGTTATATATAGTATCATATTAGTATCATGTTGGTATTTTTACTGAGAGTGCACTGAATTTATAAATAATCTTAAGGAGAACTGGTATCATTTAATGTTGAATTATTTAATCCAGTAATAGGGAATGTTGTTTTTCCACTTATTCATGTCTTCATTTCTTTCCAGTGTATTTAAAATTTTTATTCATATAGGTTTTTGCACATTTCTTGTTTAATTTATTCTGAAACATCTTCTTTATTACTATTGTAAATTAGTATTTTCCTACCATTATGCCCTCTGTTTGGTGTTTGTGTATATGAAGGCTACTGATATTTTTAACAGTAATTTTTGTGTAATTCTTTACCCATTCAAATGCCTCTTCTTTTCTAATTGCATTGGTGAATAACTCTTAGTATAATGATGAACTAAAAGAGCCTCTTGATGGGGCTGAAAGAGGAGAGTGAAAAAGCTGGCTTGAAACTGAACATTCTAAAAGCTAAGATCATGGCAGCTGGTCCTATCACTTCATGGCAAATAGATGGGGAAAAAATGGAAACAGTGACAGGTTTTATTTTCTTGAGCTCCAAAATCACTGCAGATGGTGATTGTAGCCATGAAATTAAAAGACACTCGCTCCTTGAAAGGAAAGCTATGACAAACCTAGACAGTGTATTACAAATCAGAGGCATCACTTTACGGACAAAGGTCCATATAGTCAAAGCTATGGTTTTTCCAGTAGTTATGTACAAATATGAGAGCTGGACCATAAAGAAGGCTGAGTGCTAAAGAACTGATGCTTTTGAATTGTGGTACTGGAGAAGACTCGAGAGTCCCTTGGACAGTAAGGAGATCAAACCAGTCAACCCTAAAGGAAATCACCCCTGAATATATACTGGAAGGACTGATGCTAAAGCTAAAGCTCCAATACCCTTGCCACCTCATGTGAAGAGCCAACAAAATGGAAAAGATCCTGATGTTGGGAAAGATTGAAGGCAAAAGGAGAAGAGGGCGGCAGAGGATGAGATGGTTAGATAGCATCACTGACCCAGTGAAAATGAATTTGAGCAGACTTTGGGAGACAGTGAAAGACAGGGAAGGCTGGCATGTTGTAGTTCATGGGGTCACAAAGAGTCAGACACGACTTAGTGACTAAACAACAGCAAATGGAAAAGAATAGCAGAGATAAGGGATGTTCTTATTTCGGTCCTGACTTTGTGGAAATGCCTCTAGTGTTTCTACATTAAATAAAATAAGGCATCAGGGCTAAGTATATCTATATTATTGATATAGTATCAACTATATTGTAATTGTAGCACTATACTGATACTGTACTTATTGGTAGGAGAAAGTATCCCTTAATTTTTATTTCTTGGAATGTTCTTTATAATAAATGGATGTTGAGTTTTGTCAAAAGGTTTCTCAACATCTATGGAGATAGCCATATAAATTCTCAGATGTGTTAATATATTAATCTTCATATATTAATATGAAATATTCATGTATCTGAACAAATCTTCCATTTCTAGAATAAATCTCATTTGGTCATTATTTCCCTAATGCAGAGTTAGATTTTGTTTACTAAAATCCTGTTTAGGCTTTTACATCAATAATCATGTATAATACTGGTCTGTATTTTTATTTGTAATGTCTTTATTGGTTTAGGTGCTAGTGTTATATTTGCTTTATAAAAGGATTTGGGAATTTTCTCCTTCAATACTCTGGACTAATTTATAGAGCATTGGAGTTATCTGGCCTTTGAAGGTTTGGTGGAATTTCCTGTGAAACTATTTTCAGACCTGGCCCTCTTTTGTGTGGCAGTTCTTTAGTAATTTTCTCTATTTCTTCTACAGAAACTGGTGAGTTTACACTTTCTTTCTCTAATGGGATCAATTTTGGCTATCTGTATTTCCCTAGAAAATTTACACACATTCAGACATTACTTTGCCAACAAAGGTCCATCTAGTCAAGGCTATGGTTTTTCCAGTGGTCATGTATGGATGTGAGAGTTGAACTATAAAGAAAGCTGAACGCCAAAAAATTGATGCTTTTGAACTGTGGTGTTGGAGAAGACTCTTGAGAGTCCCTTGGACTGCAAGGAGATCCAACCAGTCCATCCTAAGGGAAATCAGTCCTGGGTGTTCATTGGTAGGACTGCTGTTGAAGCTGAAACTCTAATACTTCAGCTACTTGATGCGAAGAGCTGACTCATTTGAAAAGACCCTGATGCTGGGAAAGATTGAGGGCAGGAGGAGAAGGGGACGACAGAGGACGAGATGGTTGGATGGCATCACCAACTCAATGGACATGGGTTTGGGTGGACTACGGGAGTTGGTGATGGACAGGGAGGCCTGGCATGCTGCGATTCATGGGGTCGCAAAGAGTCAGACACAACTGAGCAACTGAACTGAACTGATTCTTTTTCAGACACTTTTCTCACATATGTTATCACAAAATATTGAGTATAGTTTCCTGGGCTGTACAGTAGGTTCTTGCTGGTTATCTATCTCATATATAGTAGCATGTGTATGTTAATCCCAAGCACCTGATTTATCCCTTCTCCCTAAACTTCCCCTTTGGTAACCATGGTTGTTTTCAATATCTGTAAGTCTGTTTCACTTTTGCAAATTAGTTTATTTCTATCATTTTTTAAAAACTTAAAGATTCCACATATGAGAGATATCATATAATTGTCTTTCTCTATCCGATTTACTTCACTCACTACAATAATCTAGGTCTATCCATGTTGCTGCAAATGGCATAATTTCATTCATTTTTATGGATGTAATATTCCACTGTACATATGTACCACATGTTCTTTATTCATTTCTCTTATCAGTGGACATTGTCTTGGCTATTATATATAGTGCTGCAAAAAACATTGAGGTGCATGCCTCCCTTTTTTCTTGATCAAATTAACTAGCTGGTTCATCTGTTTTTTTGGAAACAAGATTTTACATTAAAATTATTTATCATTTTAAAATTCACATTCTTATTAATTGCTGCTTTTACCTTTGTTTCTTTGCTTTACTTTGTTGTTCTTTTGCTAGGTATCAGAGTTTAGAATTTAATTCATGTGTTTTTATTCTTTTATTATTACTGAGAAAAAGGGTTCAGCTAATACATTTTTCCTTGATAATTTTCCTTAAATGCATTCCAGATATTCTGACATGTAGTGTTTTCATTATTATATTTTTTAATTCTATAACATCAGTTTGTATTTCCTTTTTCACTCAAAATTTGTTCAGTAGGTATAAAATTTCCAGATATAGGACCTGCTGCTGCTGTTGCTAATAAATTCTAGTTCTTGGACTTCCCTGGTGGCTCAATGGTAAAGAATCCACCTGCTTATGTAGGAGACACAGGTTCGATCCCTGGTTTAGGAGGATGCCATATGCCACTGAGCAATTAAGCCTGTGTACCACAACTCCTGAGCCTGTGCTCTAGAGCCCAGGAACTGCAACTCCTGAGCCCACGTGCTGTAACTACTGGATCCCATGTGCCATGGAGCTTGTGCTCTGCAAGAAGTGAAGCCACCGTAATGAGCAGCCTGCACACCACAACTAGAAAAAAGCCCACATGCAGCAACAAAGACCCAGCACAGTCAATAAATAAACAAATAACATCATAAAAAATTGAAATAAATTCGAGTTTTATAGCATTTGAACAGTATGTTTGTAATAATTCCACTTTATAGAAACTACTAACATTTTCTTTATGACCTAACAGGATCAATTTTTCTGACTGTACTCTACACACATGACAAAAATGCACATTTCTATCATCAGAATGTAGAGTTCCATTTATATCCATAAGATACACCTTATTCATAATATCTACACTGCTCACTATATTGTTCAGATCTTTTATTTCTTAGTCATATTCTATTAGATCTGTCTTGTGCCATTAGAGAAATGCAAATTAATACCACAATGAGATATCACTGCACAGTGATCAGAATGGCTGAAATTTAAAAATAGGACAATACCAAATGCTGACAAGGATGCAGAGAAACTACAAGATACATTGCTGGTAGGAAGCTTAAGTGGTACAGCCACTCTGAAAAATAGTTTCGCAATTTCTTATAAAACTAAACATGTATTTGTCATACAAATCCTCTTTTCATTACCTCAAGAATTCCAGAGGCTCAGAAATTCCATGGAAGAACTTCAGAGGTCTGTAGACTCACTTGGAATGACAAGCAGAATTTTATACCTCCCTACTTAAGTCTATTTTTCTTAAGAAATGGCACATAGCTTCTCAAAGAGGCCTATGACTCCCTAAAAGGTTAAGAATCATGACTATATTGACTCTAAGAAAACAAATCATGAACCCCAATATTTCTTAAAATAAATATGACCTATACTGTACAAGTTGACTTTTATAAATTCTGTTTTCATTCTTACTGAAAATAAACCAGTATCTTTCAGCTAACCATTTAGAAAACATTTTGTAACATTGCCATTTTAACTCTAATTTTTCTCAATATGTGTATATATTTTAAATACTAAGAAATTATTATATTTAAATTTAAAATGTGTCTTACATTCTTCAGGCTGGACAGATGAGTAACTCCCAAGATTTAATAATTGACTGGTAAATGTTGATTGCAGTACTGTCTCACCAACCCAGTGATCCTCATGGATAGTGACATCTAGAAAGGGGGAAAATAAGTTCTGATCATGCTAAAAATTCCCTCACACTGGAATTAATGTACTCATCATAGCAAAATACCATGCATGCCTCTCACATGCCAGGTAACTGAAGTCCAAATAGGGTAAATGATCTCCCTAAAGGTACAAAATGATAAAATAGCAAATTTGATCTCTGAACCTAGGAATGTCTGTACATAGGCAAAATAACAAAATTGCTTCTGTATATTCAAATAATATCAATATGGAAGCTCTGCTCCACAGAGAAAATTTTAACGGTTTTGTTCGCTTAAGGCAAAGGTATAATGTATATTTCTGATAAATTAAAAGTCAGTCATTTAGGATAAGGAAGCAAAGCAGGGTTCCAAAGCAGTAGTTCCTAGAAGAGTAAAACATATTTAGTATGCATTTATTTCCTCTGCCATAAGCCATATATAAATATAATGTAAGGTATTCTTAAAGAACTTTGATTATTTTTCCCTAAACTCAATGATAATTATCTTCTATAGATGTTAAAAATGAAATACTTTAGAGGTAAGGAACACTTCCCAGGAAAAAGAAAGCTGCATGATCTAAGATGGAAAAAGAAACATTTAGTGGAACTAAACATTCCAACTGGGAGAAACAATTCTAAGTAGAACAAAAATTAAGTTAAAGACAGAGACAGATCCATCCCAGGCAGGATATAATCAGCCTTTTATAATCAGTATAAAATGTTAAAGGTATGAAGATGCACTAATGGCAGCAAAATAATCAAAGAAAAACAAGGATGAATAATTTCCAAGTAATTACATCCAAATTTATATCCCAGATCCTCTCCTCAGCTTCAAACCCATTTACCCATTTATCCACAACTGCCTAATTGACATTCCTGACTGGATATTCTATTAGCTCCCCAAACTCAGCCTTGCTCAAATCTGCTTTTCTTGTATGCCCCATCTCATCTGTTGGCACTATGCTGCTAGCCAGGTCAATTAAAACATGACATCATCCTGAACTTCTACCTCTCCTGTCCCATTTTTGTCTCCAACCCAACTGTTGACTCCACCTCTTCAATCTGCCCGCAGCCCTGCCACGGCTAGTTTTGCATCAAACATTCTTCTCTCTCCAAGGAGGTCCCCTTCCTATCTCCAATCCATGTCCCATGATGCTAATGAATGATTTATCAAGAACATTAATGTGATCTACTGACTTGATTAAAAAAACTCTCAGTGGCTCCCCATGGCCTTGCCAGGAACAACCAGTATAGCATTCAAAGCTTTTCAAGATCTGACATTCAGGATGCCTGCTCTTCAGAAGGGAACATATAAGAAATTTCAAGGAGAACTTTCAGAAAACCATATTGTAAAACCTATGTTCAGACTCATAAAATGTTAATCATTGGTGACAGGATGGAGGGGAGTTAAGAATTCAGCCTTTGCCCCCCTTTTCTTGGTCCATTCACTGATATAGTTTTCTATCTGTTCTTTATATACTGGTTTCCCAGTTAAGTCCCAGGTCTTCTTCTCTTTTAACTCTAGTCACTAGTCTCCTTAGAGACTATATAGACCATATTTAGAGCATCTTTTCACTCTATTGCTACAGTAGAAAAATATCCATTACTGAATGGAATGTGATCTGGAATCCATCTGTTAGACAGAATTGTTCAGTTTTGGGTGGATATCAGAAGGTAGTATGAGATATTCAACACAGATATAATCATCTGCAACTGGATGCTATTAATTAAAGTGGGATTTCACTCATAAATTCCTCTGTAAATGTAATCTCACTACCTAACTAGGAAAACAGAAAAGTACAAATTTCTCTTTCCACAAAGTTTTCATCTGTTCCACACAAATAAAAGAAACTAGATATCTGTAAACTACTTTTTTTAACTAAGGAAATTAAGTAAAACAGAAACAAACAAACAAATAAAAGACCCATTTTAAAAAACTGGTGCCCATAGAAATAATCTAAATATTCTATAATAGGAAGATGGTTAAGTAAACTCTGGTAAAGTCACTTCACAGAATGTTACCTCCTTGGTAACAACTGTATGGACACTAGGAAAAAAGAGAGATAGTTGGGTTGAGTTTCTATCTGCTAGGAAAAGGCCTTCTGGGAGCCTCATACAGTGACAGTAATGCCTTGATAAAGTAATCGTGGTCCAGGGTCTAGCCTACTCTTTACGGTCTTGGGAACCTCATTTTTTTTCAGCACTCCAAAAATAGATTTCAGCTCTGTAACATAAACTTGTATTCAAAACAGTTAATGAGACAAACAGAAAAACAGAACACAACCTTTTTGTTTAAATGTACAAAATTGCCAAAGAAACACTTGCAGCCTGCTCTCACCTTGTAGGTAGTTTTACATCTTGGAAGCCGAGTCATAAGCAAAGGGCGGCTCGGCAAGCACTGAATCAGAAAAGAGCAAGTTAGGTGACTTGAGCTGCCTGCAAAGAAGATACCGCCAGTGGGACAAGACTACGCAAAGCTGATACAAACCTGTGTTCAACTCTTCAGTACAGACTGTACCTGATAATGTTACACAAATACCAAACTATATTAGCTAAGGTTCTCACTCCCTCAGCAAACCATCTGGTAGGAATTACAAATGACTGCCTTGATATTTTCTCTTTCTAAGCTTTTAAAGCTGACCCACACCTCTTCTCTATCACATTCTATCTTTACATATATTATAAAGCTTAATCAACTTTGTGCTGGTGTGGGATTCATTCTTAAAATGACTAGTAACTATGCCCTAATACACTATGTGTTGATTTTTTAAATCAATATAGGACATGTAACGAACTGTTAGATTTTGTTTTTCAGGTGAAAAAGCAGGATACAAATCATTTTTCATCATTACAACTGTATACTGAGAGTAGGGATTCTAGAATCGGGGTGAAGCCCGGCTTTGCCACCTCCTAACTGGCTGGCAGTGGCTAAGTTACTTCACTTCCCTGGGTCTATATTTTCAAGCTGAAAAATGGGGAAGATAACCAGTGCTCTCCTCACACAATTGTTATATAATGAGTTGAAAGATATATAATGTCTAAAACAGGGACTAAGTTCCCAATGAATGTCTGCTATTATCCATATGCAGACATGATTGAGGAGCACAGGCAAGATAACTGGAAGGCAATACTCCAACACTCCATTGGCAGTTATATGAGGTTGGTATAATACCAGGAGTCTCTCCTTTCCATATTTCCAAATGTGATCAGTAGTGACCCTTGGATAACACAGTAGGTTAATCCATTACTTTAGTCAGCCCTCTGAATCTCGTGCTCTTCTACATCCATTGATTCAACCAACCAGGAATGGTGGAGTACTGTAGTGTTCACTACTGAAAAACATCCACATATAAAGGGGCCCATGCAGTTCAAGGGTCTTTGGTAATTTTAATAATTTAAAAATTCAAAGAAATTCCACGTTCCCTCAGTAAGAATGTAGTGTGCACAGCTTTATTAGGGATGGAATAGTAGAAATGTCATCCTGTTAACACAGCTAAAGAAAAGGGTTACAAATAAGACATACATAAATAAAACGGTAAGAAAACAAAGAGCCCGATGAGACACATGAATGCTAGCATAGTGGATGAAAGGAGGAGGAATCAGAGAAGACTTCTCAAAGAGAAGGAGGAACAGGAGGGACAGTGGGAAGGAGGGACAGAACGAAAAAGGACAGATAAAAACCCAGAAATGGCAATGCAGGGATGAGGAGACCAATACAGATGCTATAAGGGACTCAATCATGCTGGAACCCTAAGAAGCAAATGGTAAGGAAAGAATCCTTAAAGGCTTAAAGTGGGAGGGGGAAATAGACAACAGCTTTGTAAAATAAAAAGATATTTACCACGATGACCTTACCTGTGAGTAAAATTATATCTCCAAGAAACACAGTAAGTGCCCAGAATGCTGCAGTCCTCCACAGAAACACCTTCTTCTTAATTTCTGATTGGTCAGTTACCACAATTGTTGCTAAAGGCACTTTAGAGCCAGAATTTGGTCCAGATTTTATATTTATTTCTTTCATGTGACATGGAGATAACACCATGACTAAGCAATTGTATTTCTGACGTTCAGAATCACAGTTTTTTATTAATGAGGTTTTTTTAATGCCCTTAAATCCAGACATGTTCCTCTGGTCCACCGTTATAGTATGATCTATCTCATTAGAAAACAACTTAATTTTCTTAGCTACATGGGGGACTTTAGACAGAGCCTGAGGGTGGCCTGATTTCTCTTCAGAGGTCCAACTTCTCTTACCAGAACTTTTGTGGAAGGTATTTAGTTGAGAACACAGTATTCCTGAGTTACATGACTCAATGCATATCTCATTTGGTTGAAAGTTATCATCAAAATTGAAAAGTTCTTGAGATCCTATGTTTTCTTCAAGATCTTTATCAGCGTTTAAGAGAGTGTGGCAACTTTTTGTTTCAGGACAAACAGGACTAAAAAGTTCAACGGAACAGGCTTGGTTCTGTCCATCTTCATATCCTTCTGCAGAATCATCTTTGGACTGAATCAAATTATCCTCAGTTATTCTTATTTCCCCATAACTTGCTTCTGGTTCAATCTCCATGTTTATGGTCCCTTTATTTATAGAATTCTGCCCTTTATATTTCCTTTGAGCTAAAAAAGCAACCTGGCTGGAGGTCATTATACTAAGAAATTCAGCATCAGTGGATATTTTAAGTCCTTCAGGTCTTGGTTTGTCTACTGTGTTAGAAGGGAAGAACTCCAGACACCGGTTCTGTATTTCATGATGCTCTGTTGGTGCACGGTTTATTTTGATAGCTTCTGGAGTATTAGTCTGTTCAGTACCACAGACCACATCCAGTATAGCTGCACACTTATGATCTAAATGAAAGGAATTTTTTGGAATGTTCTGACCACATATGTTTGATTGATCACGCTGTTCGCTTGTGGTTTTCTTAAGTTCACTGGAAAGATTTTGATACTTCTCTTCTTCAGTAAAATGCTGAATTCCTCCCTTAAATCCACATATTTGCTCACTGAAGTTGGTTCTATCACTCATTCCCAAGAGGTAACTCTTCTGGGAATTTACAGTTTGTGTTTCAGAAATGCAACGTGTGGAGTCATCTTTCATGTAAACAGATCTGTTCATAGAGTTTGCTGGAGTATGACCATGAGGAAGATCTGGAAGACCCAGAGGTTCCAGGGCCTGACAGTCCTCGAGATTTTTGTGCCTGCATTTTTTATCCTTCAGGTATAAGGAATGGTGATTGTACAAAACCTGAATTTCTTTCCAGGTCTCAGTAGTGGGTGCTAAAGAGGTTGGTTCCTGTGAGACTGTCATTTCCAGTGGACTGACTGGAGCACCCCAAAAAATGTGAACTTGAGATCCTCCACTCATAGTTTCTGAAAAAAAAGAAAAAGAAAAATCTAAAATAAGCATGTGTCAGAAATTTTTATATATTGAAATTAACTTTTAATAGTCCCAAAGCAAATGTAATATAAATCAAAAATATAATTAATAGAGGTGATTTATATTCTTAATTATAAAAATGACAAATACATAAGCAATCATAAGGAGAAATCAAAATATGCACAAAAAATACTCACATAAAGACTCTCTTTAAGGAAAATAAAATTAAGCATAGTAACAAATGAGTAAACTCTTAGTATGCTCATATCTGGTATTGTAAAAACTTGCACTCCTTTTTTTTCTTTTGGCTGCTCAGTTCAGCATGTAAGGTCTTAGTTCCAGGGATCAAACCCATGTCTCCTGCATTGGGAGTGCAGAGTCTTAACCACTGGACTGACCGGGGAGTCCCAAAACTTGCACCATTTAAACAGTAAGTTAGTAAAGAAGGGAATAAACAGCATTTGTTTAGCTGTATTATAGTCACCTTTAAATCCCTTGTTTTCTTTTTAGGGCCTTCTTCCTTAAACTGTAAACTCAATTCCAAAATCCCAAAATAGAGGCTTGAACCAGTAAAGAGAAAATAAAAAACTAAGGCTCTTTTCAAAATGTACAAGTAACTATATTATCTATCTTCAATCTATAAGCACAATCAATAATTGCTTCTGTATTTTTAAAAAATAATTTTATTTATTTATTTTCTTGGCTGTGCTGGTTCTTTTGTTTCTGCACAGGCTTTTCTGTAGTTGTGCGAGCAGAGACTACTCTCTAGCTGTGGTATGCAGGCTTCTCATTGTGGTGGCTTCTCTTGTTGCGGAGCATGGGCTCAGAAGCTGTGGGACACAGGTTTAGTTGCTCTGCGACATATGGGATGTTCCTAGAGCAGGGATCGAACCTGTGTCTCCTGCGTTGGCAGGCTGCTTCTTCACTATTAAACCAGCAGGGAAGCCCTGCTTCTGTATTTGTAATCTTCTCTGAAATGCAAACAGATTAAGAATAGCCATTTTGTAATATACAGACAAAAGAAACTCATTATAATTTAAATATTTTTTCATTAACTGTGGGCACTTGATATAAGTAAATCTAAGTAAGCATCATATTTAGTGAGATAAAAATAGAGAATTATACCACTACTGACTTGATAATAACTGACTTTCCAAAAGTATCTACTAAATAGATCTATTCCTAGAGTTTGCTGATAAATTTTTTATAGTGCTACGGGGACAAAAAGACAGATAAGGTCCTTGGCCTAAGGGAACTGTCAGTATGGTTTTAAAAAAACAAAAAGGAGAAAAAACACAGTGAATGTAAACTAGCAGTTTAAAAATAATGTAATACATATTATAAACTAGAAATAAGAAACAATACTCCTATGAAAAGCAAGTACCATAGCTGTAAGCATCTAAACAAAAGAATACGCAGCTGTAAAAGGCAGGGTTATGAAAGACTGTGGTATGAATGAGGACTTTTGATCAGAGTACAGGGTCCTTTGTAAAAAGGTAAGAAGCTTTTAAATCATGAAAAGTCTATATGGAAGTATGGCAGTATACAGGAAACCTCAGCTACAGTCCCCAGTCACTCTCATCATTCCTTGATTTGCTCATGGTCACCTCTTTCTAATCTAATAACCTATCTGATTATAGTTCATGTGATTTCACTATCTGTGTGGGTGTTCCTGCTAATACCCTGGCCTCTCGGTTCCTTGTCCTCTTCTCCTCTACTGATTTTATTCTCCACCCTTCCTCAGTTATTCTTTCTCATAATCATATGCCCTACCATTAACAATAACTATACATTTCCTTAATTTCAATTTAAGCTTTCAACTCGCTGACTACTTTCTCCTATCTCTGACTTACCCCCTCTAGATGGACAACTACAACAACTCTTTGACCATGTGGGATCTATGTTGAACACAATGATCATAACTCATTTTTATAGCCTCATTCTTTACTTCCCTCCTTAAAATGCTTATATTCCAGGGTCATTATAATCACTCCCAACCATACTTCTTTAATTCTGCTACTCTCCTCTCTAGCTAAACTCAAACCCTGGTTCAATCACTCCTACTCTACACCTGTACCCAATGAAAACTAGTCTCATTTTAAGATCGTGACTACTAACCTCAAGGGGGTACCCAGAAATCTTATCTTTCTCTGTCCATTCATTTTCCAAGATAACTCTTTTATACTCTTTAAAGCTCAGCATCTCCTCCCCTGTCCTCAAGTGCAGCTGATGATCATTTACAAGTTGTCAGCAACAGACCTACCGACCTCTATCGTACCCATATATTTTGCCCACTTTATTACTATGAATAAACTAACTGTTTGTGCTTCTAAGGCCAACTCTTCCTCACTTAGACATTAGAGCTTATACCCTCTTTCCCACCCAGGCTTCAACAATTCTTCATTTCTCTCCTACATCTTGATTTTTGTTTTTTACTGGAGCATCTCCATCAACATACAAACATGTTGTGACTATTCCTCATGCTGTTAATCTTCAGCTCCTCTACTCCTCTGCTTATTTTTTTTTCATTAACAACAAAGATATAGTTAGCAAAATATTGAGTATTATAACTAAAATGTATTTGGTGTGGACAAAAATTAGAAGATAATGTGGAAAAATAAAAACAGGTATGATCGAATGGTAAAGGTTTCAGTTGACTCCTCCACTTATTATACCGCTTTTCTGCTCCCCTCTACAGCAAAATTCCCTGAAAGAACTGTCTATATTCCCTCTTACCCCATTCTCTCTTAAACCCACTCCTATCAAGCACTGGTCCAAAACACTCCACTGAAACAGCATATTTCAAGGTCTCCAATAACCTCCATATTGGAATCAGTCAAATCCCCATTTTCAACTTAAGACTGTCAGCACTGATCATCCCTTTCCTCTTTTGTGCAGTCTCCTTCTCAGTCTCCTTCACTATCTTCTCCTCATCTCAACTTCTTGCTCAAGGGCCCAGTACTTGGAATATCTCTCTGGACTCACTCCCTAGGTAATTTTCATTCAGTCTCAGGATCTGAATACCTTCTAATAACTAACTGATGTATATCTTCATCACTAATGACTACCAGATGTTTATCTCCATCACAGTCTCTCTTTTGAATGCCTGACTCCTTACCCAACATTCTTATCAACATTCTACTTGAGATACAAGTACTGGGCCCCTAAGCAAGAAGTTGAGGAGATGAGGAAAAGCTAGCAAAGGAGACTGAGAAGGAGCGTAAGGTGAGGTAGTGTGAGGTGGGATGAGAATCAGGAGGATGTGATATCCCTAATAGGCACCTATGCGGAAAAGACTTAACATACCAAGCCTGAGACTACCATCCTTAAAAAGCCCCGCTTGTAATGTGGGACCTTGGCAGGCATTTGTGCATTTTGATTTCAGGAGGGTTCCCACTGTTCCTTGATAAGAATGGCTCACTGTGCCTAAACTATCTAATAAACACTCCCTTTCCTTCTAAGAGACTGGCATTTTGGTATGTGATAGAGGATGGCTGCAACACCAAGTCTCCTTAGAGAAATGGCTGATTCTAGATTTGGGGCAGGAAATATACAAGATGAACCTGAAATGTCTCATCATACAAGAGAACAATTGAAGACTAGTAGGACTCTGTCAAAAGAACTGAGGAGCCAACTTAAAGAGGCTCCCACTGCCAAAACTGGGCAATCTGAGCATCAGTCAGGATGACCACAAAGATGGATTGGAACAAATCTGACAAGCTTAAATCCACGAACTCATAAAAATAACTAAAACAAACTCACTCAATGATCACCTTCAGAGGATACTGTGACTGTTTCAAAAGTTGGTGAATAAAAGGAAAACATTTTACCCTGTTTTGTTTTACTAAGAGAATCTCAAGATGGCCAAATATATGATGAGAGGAAATCTCTCTTTACAGTGATATTATGCTCATAAACAAAAACCAAAATAATGATAGACTAGCACCATCTCACAACTCCGAATGAGTTAGTGGATTTTCTAGGCAATAGCCATTAATGGCTACTAATATCACCAGGTAGATGTTGTGAGGGACAGCAGAAGGAATTTGTAGATTGAAACCAATTACAAAGTGTGGATCTTATTTAGATTTTGATTTGAAGACACAAGTGTAAAAATATAAGGCAACTGGAAAAACTGAAACTTTGGTATTTTATAACATTAAGGGACTACTGGGTTTTTTTAGTGGGATCATATTATTGAGGCTATATATGAAAGGCTATGTGCCAGAGATCTAAAATGAGTGTTTGCATGTAAAATGCTGTGACATTTCTTAATTTCCTTAGAACGCCAGGAGGGGAGAGAGGACGAGGTTACAGATTAAACAAGATGGGCCATACGTCCAGGCAGGTTGATGCAACACTTCTCTAATCACTCTACTTTTGTACATTTTTAAAATATCCTATAATACATGCCTTCTTTTTTGTTGTTGTTTTTAAGAAATATTTTTTCAAACTTGGAAAAGATTTAAGCAGTCTAATAATACCCCAGGTTGGGGAACACTTACACAGCTCTGGCAAATAAGCTGGTAAAGGTGAGGATACTCACACCACACAACCACATAATTCCACTTCCAAGTTTTTGCTCTGGAGAACTCTTGCTTGTATCTACACAAGAATATGTGTGCAAGAATGATCATGGGGGACTTGATAAAAAAAACTTAGAACCTAAAAATCCATGAAGAGGAGATAAGTCATAGGATATTCAGAGAATGACTACTGTATGGCAGAAAAATAAATGAACACAAATTACATACCAACATGGGTACATCTTACAAACATAATTTTAAATGAAAGAAGGAATCTGAAGAATAGGCAACTTGTGATATCAACATGTTGAATTTTAAAATATGTCTGAGATTAAAACACAAAATCCAGGATTGTGGTTACCTTCAGGAAGGAGGAATGGGGATGTGATAGGTAAAGTACACATAAAGGGCATCAACTGTACTAACCATGCTGATTTTTTTAACTAGGTAAATATATTCCTT